TTCATCCCACCACTGCCTCGTCCTACTCTCCTGTTCATACTTCAGGGGACCCAGAGCCTGCCTCCACCGGGCAGCCTGCCCTGATTGCCACGGCCCACACATACCCTCCTCTGCACTCTGAAGGCACTTACTGTCCACAACACTCACAGGGCATCTAGCACGGGCTGTCTGTTCAAGGGCTTTGCCTTTTGGGGTGTGTGCATTTCTCTCCAGCGCCGTCCTGGTGGCACATGTCCCCAGCCTGTGCTGAAGCCCCCTTGCCCCCAGCTTGCTCTCTCACCCTTACGCCCGGGGGTGTCTGTTCCAGGCTCATTTCTGCTCCTCTCTCTCCCCTTCTTTTACAACTGGCGCACTCCGGAAGTTCTCTTGGCACTGGGCTTGACTTTCAAAAGCCCTAGGAGTCTTCTTTGGCTCCTCTCTCTTCTATTTAAATTCAAAACCCACAATGCTTGCCCAGGTTCCTGCTATCCCAGAGCCATTAGGAGATTAAAATTGTGCAGCACCTGCCTCTCTGCTGCTCCCAGGGTCCCACTGTTCATATCAAGCGACGCACAAGCCCGTGCCACCTGCCGCACGTTGGCCGTATCTTCCTTCCAAGCGTGGGGCAACCTGTGCGGATGGGCTTTCTAATAACACGGCCTCGTGTTTGCGACCCGCCTGGTTCACTTCCCAGGCCCTGCAGGGGACCTGACAGAAACCAACGAGGCAGGGAGGGTGGGAAGCTCTGTGCACAGGCCCCCGGCAGGGAGTTGATCCTGGCTCTGCCTCTCACTCCCTCCGTGATCCTGGGAGAGTCATGACCCATTCAGGCCTCAGTTTCCCCATCTCTAAGAAAGATGTGGAATTAAGTGTTCTCTAGGAAGCCTTCCAGTCCCACCTCCTCTGGTGGTCTCTGGTTTATAAGTGAGAAGATTCGGGCCTCCTGACTGGGGCTCAGGGCTCTTGCCATCCAGATACACACAGTAAGCATGTATGAGGACACATGAGACATGCACCATGCATACAACCACGGTGCACACATCATATGCATCCATGATCAACATGGCGTAGGGACTTCCTCCCATCTGGAAAAAAAAGAAACTCACTCAACCCTATACTTGTCTCCAACTGTGGCCCCATTTTTTTGTTCTTTTTATTGTAAAACTGCTCAGTAGTGTTCTTGGGGAGGTTTTAAAATATGTCTGCCAATTCTTTGACACCTATCCCATGGACAGGTTCTCTGCTGTTTTCCCAGCATCTAAGTAGCATCTGGCACATAAAAGGCACTCAATAGAGTGAATGAATGAATGAATGAATGAATGAATGAATGAATGATTTGATTATGCCTCCCAATTGCAGCCATCAGAGTGACACCAAACCCAAGTTGTTACCCTCACCCTTTGATAGCTCCCCATTGTCTTGAGAATAAACCCAACCTCCTTAATCCTATGGTTAAGGCCCTTTAAAATCTAGCCCCATTTCTCCCACCTTTGTACTTCCTACTCCAGCAATGCCAAACCGCTTGAGTTTTTCTGCATGTCCCCATGACGCGTCCCCTTTTGCCTGGCATGCCCCACCCCACACCTTCTCTCCCCAGTGTCACTGTTTCTCATCCTTTAGTGTCCAGCCCAACTATCCCCTCCCGGAGGAAGCTTCTCTACCTACCCAAGGCTGGATCAGCGTCCTCTTTTCTGTGGTCCTAAGGCACCCTGCGTTGATCTCTATCTCTATAGCCAACACCCGGGTGTTTACTCGCCTATTTTCTGTTGCTGTCTCCCTACTAGAGAATACCAATGACTAAAGACTTGAGCATATTAATTTAACGAATGGCAAAGTCCAGGGATAATGATATGCTACAGGATGGCTTTGGATAAAATAAAGAGGAATGTGAGTCACATCTCCTTGGTCCTTCATCAGGGGAAACTTGGATATCACTGGATCTTAGGTGGTGCTGTGCTGTGGAATTATAACTTCCTTGTGCGTGCTCTGTGAAATGGAGATGGCAGTCGTGCCTGCTTCCACCGGCTGTCGCAGGCTTTAAATCCCGCATACGTGAAATTAGGCACGTCGTCCAGAGGCGCTGAAGACGGCAGAGCGCAGTCAGCGGCGGTGATGAATGGCTGTGATGTTTACATCTGGCCCAGGGCCAGGCATGCAGTACATGCTCCCAGAGTGCCTTTGAATTGGAAAAGGAAAGGAACGCGTGAGCATGTGGGTGTCACACGCGACGCCAGCCGGAGCGTGTTTCGGTGGCAGAAGGAAGAGGAGAGAGCGGAGCCACTGCTCAGAATCCTGCGGGGTGGGGTGAGCCCGAGTCCTGAGCCCACGGTGCGGTGTCTGGTCGCTGCTCCTCTGCCCCAGCCTTCGGCAGGCAATGGCAGAGGGCTCCTCTCACGTACGTGAGGTGACGCCTCCCCAGGGCCCAGGGAGCTGAGCTAGGGGAGCTGCTTCCCTGACAGTCGTGGAGAGACCCAGGCTGAGGCTGACCAGGAAGGGGAGACCTCGCCAGGCCTCACTGGGAGACTCAGAATCACCCATGGCCGTGGCCGGGGAATCCAGCCACCCACTGGCGACGGGAAAGAGTGATAAGCCCACTAAGAGAGTGATCACCAGTAACAAACGAGCTGCCTGCTGAGGACAGAACTCAAGGTCATTTGAACTTCATGTGTTAATTCCATGAGGCAGGAGTAGTATCCCTGTTTTGTAGAGGTGGAAGTTGAAGGTCGGAGGGGAGTGCACCATCTCCCAGAGTCCCGCAGCATCAGGATTTAGACAATTCCAAAGCTCTTTGTCCCGCTGCAGAAACTGACAAGTTAACAAGTTTCTGAGAATAAGCCCAAATGATGAGGGAAGGGGGTCCTGTCCCAGCAATGGCGCACCCTGGTTGTGGCCATCCCCCAGCAGGACCATCCAGCACGCACAAGGCAGAGACCCTAGTCCACACACACACACACACACACACGTGTGCACGCACACATGCACGCACACGCACGCACACGCACGCACAGTGAGGAGATTTCTGGGGACAAGCTTTGCCTGGGGGCCCTGCCAGGGTCCCTGGCTCGAGACTGCAGTAACTGAGTCAGGCACCAGCAGCCCCACCACCCTCACCTAGACTCTTGGGCAGCCTCTCCTGCCGCCTCCCTGCCTGCCATGGCTTCCTCTACATCTACCTGTGCCCTACGAGGCTGCCAGAGAGGATCTTTATAAAACTCCAAGCCTGTCCCATCATGCCCTGAGCCTGGGAGCTGAGGCCGCCTCCTTGCTTTGTCTGCAAGCTCCTTCACCAGGCGGTCACCATTCGCCTCCCAGCCCCTCCCGCACACTCCCCTCCAGACTCCCCTTCCTACTGTTCCACGCCTCCACGTCTTGCCACGGGTGTTTCCTCAGCCTGGAAGTCCTCCTCCCCTCTGCTCTGTGACGTATCACACAGGGCCCTGCCTCTGAACCCCTCCCTGGTCCCCACCCCCTCGTCTCCCAAGCAGATGCTGTATATAGGGCGTGGCCCAGGTCCTCCTTCGGGACTAGCTCTCATCCCAGCTGCCGGGACACTGGAGGCTGACCGCGCCCCACTGAGTCCCTCCCTGGGAACTGCCCTCCACCAAAGGGAGCTGCCCCCCAAGGCCTGCCGTCCACTCCACCACTCTGCGGCAGCCTGATCATGGGCAACATGGAGGGGCTGAGGGTAGGTGGGGGAGGGGGGCACGGCCCACCCCGCTCAGTATAAAATCCTGTTGCCCTCTGTCTTTCCCTGACGTACGTGTGCCTGGCGGCCGGCCGGGGCTCGGATCCCCAACCTGTTGGAATGCCGCCCAGCAGGCTGCCACCCTTTATGAGAAATACGGCTCCCCTTTTTCCAAATATAAACTTTGCTGGTAAATTTCTTTTTCTAGTTAACAGGGTGAATGCATGAAAACCCCTAAATAGGCCACCCTAAACAGGACTGTCCTTTCTGCCCCTCCCACCCTCTGTCCTCAGCCAAGGCCACGCTGGTTCTAGCCTTGCGGCAGACCCTCGCACCTCGTGGTGTCTCTACCTTTTCTGTCTGCTGGGCCCAGCAAACAATCTCCCCTTTTCCTCACGGGGCAGCTAAGATGGCTGTTCTGTGTTGTGTGCTTTCCCTCCGTTGGCTAACCTCAGAGCTCTTCCTCCAGTGCACCGAGTCTGCCGTCCTGGATCATTCTGGCCTCTTCCTCTGCCTCCAGGCCTCAGGTCTCCCCTCCAACCCCAGCCCAGTTTTTCTGGGATCTGCTTCTGTCTTTGCACTTTGTCTCCATGGCTGTGGTCCCCAACCCCTGGGCCGCAGACCAGTACCAGTGTGTGTCCTGTTAGGAACCAGGCCGCACAGCAGGAGGGGAGAACCGGGTGAGCGAGAGAAGCTTCCTCTGTATTCACAGCCGCTCCCCATCGCTCACATCACCGCCGGAGCTCCGCCTCCTGTCACATCAGCAGGGGGCGCATGGAGGGATTGGGGTCACGTGCTCCTTATGGGAATCTAGTGCCTGATGATCTGAGGCGGTGATGCTAGCACTGGGGAGCAAATGCAAATACACATTGTCATCAGCAGAGAGGTTTGACTGCACAGTGAATGTAATGTGCTTGAATCATCCTGAAACCACCCCAGGCCCCTGTCCATGGAAAAACTGTCCTCCATGAAACTGGTCCCTGGTGCCACAAAAGTTGGGGACCGCTGCCCTAAGGGCCCTCCCTGTATGTCCCCAGCATCTGCCTGCACACTGTACGTTTTCAGTGAGAAAATCACTCCCATTGACGGTGCCACGTTTTTAAAAAGTGCTTAAGATGGCACACTTCTTTCTCCATGCAGACAAATCCACACCCACGCTCTCACCCCACTTCAGACATGTCTCTCCTAGATTCACAACCGCACTTTTGGGATGAAGGAACCGTTTTGTCATAATGACATTCAACATTCTAAACATTTCCACTCCTGGTAATGTATTAATATCTTAAATTGTCAAACCTCAAAGGAAACAAAAAAATCGTTTTAATCACCTTGAGAAGCTGCGTTTCACGAGTTACTGATGACAACTCTTACACAACAAAGTGCCAAAGCAGACATTTCTTCTCCACTTCTCCTTCACCTATTAAAACGCCCACATCCCACCTGTGGGAGTTACGCACAAGTGCTGCTCATGACACACCTCATCATTTGGAAAGTGAATATTCTAAGTGGAGTCTCTCAGTAGATTTTAATAGTTGTGCCCTGGAGCTTAAAGATTCCGGGAAGCACCTCAAGGGCAACACTAATTGGAATCTCTGTGTAGGAGAGGTTTGGGGAGGCACTCTGGTTAGAAGTTGGGCTTGGACCCTTGTCTTGATGCTGAATTTGCATGACAAACTCACTACTGGAGGTTGAGTGGGGAGTTTAACTCCATCCCTTAGTATCTGCCACTGCTGGCGGCTGTCCTTTGGAAAACAGGAAGACTAAGAAAAAAAAATCTGGTATTTATGAAGCATCTGCTATATGCCAGGTGTTTTCCAAGAGTTGACCTACTCAGTCATTACAACAGTTCTGGAAGGTAGAAACCACCTTCATTTTATAAATGAAAGAGGCTGAAAAAGGTTAATTAACCTGCCTGCATTTGGTATCTATTACTGCATAACAAATTGCTCCAAAACTTAGTGGCTTAAAATAGCAACATGTATTATCTCACAGTGTCTGTGGGTCAGGAATTAGGTGGTCTGGCTCAGAGTTTCTCATGAGGCCTGCAGTCGGATGTTGGTGGGTGCTGCAGTCATCTGAAAGCTCTGCTGGGGCTGGAGGACCCACTTCTGTGGCAGGCAGAAGAATCGCCCCATGGAGATGCTCACAGCCTAGTCCCTGGAACCTGTGAACACGGCAGGCTGCATGGCAACAAGGAATGAACGCTGCATGTAGAATTAAGGCTTCAACCACCATACAGGAAGGTTATCCTGAACCAGCCAGGTAGGCAGTGCAATCACGGCATCCTTAAAAATGGAACAGGGAAGCAGAAGGGGAAGGCCAGTGAGAGACAGAGAGCAACAAAAGCAGTGTCAGAAAGGTGTAATGTTGATTTTGACAATGGAGGAAGGGGCCACGAACCAAGAAGGGATGTGGGCAACCTCTAAAGCTGGAAAGGTTGAGGAAACAGACCCTGCCCTAGAGACTCCAGAAAGGAATACAGCCCTGCTGACACCTTGATTTTAGCCCAGTGAAACACCTGTTGGACTTCTAACCGATAGAACTTTAAGTTAAATATATGATGTTTTAAGCTGCTAGATGTGTAGCAATCTGTTACAGCAGCAATAGAAAACTATTAACACAGCTTCCAAGATGGTTCACTCATCAGACCTTAGCTCCTCGCCACGAGAGCTCCTCCACAGGCTGCTTGAGCATCCTTACAACATGGCAGCTGTCTTCCTCCAGGGTGATCCCAGAGGCAGAGCAAGGAGGAGGCTGCAATGCCATTTACGCGCCGTAGTGCCAGAAGTTGTAACATCAGCATTTCTACCACATTCTATCTGTAGAGTCACCAAGTACAGAGAGTCCACGCATAGTGGGAGAGGAATTGGACTCTACCTTTTGAAGGGTGGAGTTTCAGTCTCCAGCCATATCACCCTGAGTGTGTCTGACCTCATCTGAAGGGAGGAGTTTCAAAGAATTTGTGGAATTTTCTCACACTGCCAAAGTCACACCAGGTTAATCAGTAGACTTGAAAAACAAAACAAAACAAAAAAAAAAACTGAGGGTTATGACCCCAAAGTCTACATTCTTTCCATTTCACAGAATTACAGAGCTGGTTCTAAGATCCGGGTACCCCAGTCTTGCCACATTACCAGTGATGCTGCACCTGGGTACCCAGGAGTAGTGATGGGGGTCTGAGGACTATTTTCAACATCTTTAAATTGCAAAGGGAACATAATACTCCCAACAAAGATGAGGCTGCACCAGCTCTTGCATGAAATTATATCAACCCAATTTGCTTATACTGTGATCGGAAGCTCTGGTTGGAAGTTATAGATGTCTTTAATAAAACATGGAAAACCTAATGCTATTAAATGAGCTCTATCTGACAGACAACATCTTTCAAAAATGTGGCCTCTAAGGGCAGAAAATAAAGAGCATAGTGGTGGGGAAGAGGTTGGAAATTCTTGCTGTACAGCAGCCTTCATTTTACAAATGGAGAAACTGAGATTCAGAGAGGGCAAGGCCTCACCCAGGCCGCCCAGAGGGTCAAACAAAGCCAGGATTGGCCCAAGACATCCTCACTCCCAAGTCAGTGCTGTGGGAGGGGGAACAGGCAGTTTAGTGTTTAATGGGCACAGGGTTTCAGTTTAGGAAGATGAAAATGTTCTAGAGATGGACGGTGGTGATATTTGCACAACAATAGTAACATGTACTATATACATAAAAATAGTTTAGGTGGTAAATTTTATGCTACTCATAGTTTGCCACAATTTTTTTTAAATTTAAGAAAGACATTAAGGAGGTCACATTACTGGGGAGGGCTAGAGAACCTGGCCTGGTGGCTACAAAGCCAGGACTGACACCCCAAACTACCCTGCAGGCCCCTCTGGGTGGAGACACGGCTGCCACGCTGCTGGGCACAGACATTGTTGCCAGCACTGGACGCCTGACCCTGCTGCTGCTGACCTGGAAACCCGATGGGGCTGTCACTCCACACCTACCTTGCCAGGATGTCTCTGCTTCTGCACAAACTTCCTTAAGGAGCAGAAGCCTGGGTCACATGCACACGGCCTGGAGGCACCTGGGAAACCAGGTACATGTAATTTGCATCGGCGTCTATTGCAAGAAGTAGATTCCAGCTCACAAAGTAGGAAATTTCTCCCAAGTATTTTAGAAAAATGGCTCCACTTCACCACCCTTCTAGTTCAGGGAGCAGTGTTTCTTGGGCCAACATCCCTTACTTCCTCCTCGCTGCTCTTTCTCTGTCTCTGGAGCTGCCTGCTTCCCATAGGATCTCCACGCAGCCCAGGGACTGCCCTGTGGCCCCTGTGTTCCCTGGAGTCCTCTTTTCCTTACCCTCATGCTGGCTGTGTCGCCAAGACCAGCCAGCTCTGCCTCTGTTCCTCTTCTCTTCTCCACGTTCCTCTTCCCACTCCTTTCCTTTCTACTCTCAGAGTCTTTGCTCAGGCTCCCATCACCTTCCTCTGGTCCCAAGCCCAGAAATGCTCCTCGCCACTCTCAACTTCCCACCATGATGCTTCTAGGAGGTAAACCTGCTCCCCTGCCTTCCTTCTCCCTTTCCTTGCTGCTGTGGCCTGAATGTCTGTGTCCCTCCCAAGCTCCTGTGTTGAAATCCTAAGCCCCAACATGATGGCATTAGGAGGTGGAGCCTTTGGGAGGTGGTTAGATCGTGAGGGTGGAGTCCTTATCAATGAGATGAATGCTTTTATAAAAGAGGCCCAAGAGAGACCTCCCGCCCTTTCTGCCATGTGCAGGTGTTAGGTAGGGACCAAATGTGCAGGTGGCAGGTGTAGGCCAGGAAGGTGGTTCCTGGCCGAGGGGGCAGGGTGGGGACCAATCAGGGGAAGGACCCACAGGAAAACACAGAACACCTGATTGAGTAACATCCCACACCTCCTGTAAGCCCTCCCCTCAACCATGCCTATAAAAGGAAACCACCTGGGAGTCCTGAATGTCTTTCTTTACTTGAGGAGATTGACCCGTTCCTCTCTCTGGAATGTATTTTCACTTTGGGTAGCTTCCTTGTTTACTTTCACTTGATATAGCTTCTTTCTTTTCTGTAATAAACTGTTCGTGTGAGATTGCTTTGTCTTTGTGACCACTCTGTCATCAGCTCAACTTGGTGCCAGAACTCACTCTTGACACTGGGAAGTGAGGACCAGGGAACATCGAGATAGACCTAACACAGGCACAGTGAAAAGACAGCTGTCTGTGAAATGGAAAGCAGACCCTCACCAAACACTGAATCTGCCGGCACCTTCCTCCAGGACTTCTCAGCCTCCAGAACTGTGAGCAGTAATTGTTAGAGCAGCCTGAGTGAACTATGACGCTTCCTGTCTTCCATCCACAACCATTTCCACGAAGTGTCTTTAGCCTGTCAAATGGGGGACAATAGAGGAATGAACAAATCTTGGTGTACCAGCTCTTCTGGCCCCTGTGCCAGGTACCTAATATGAAGCATTTCACTGCTTCCTGCCCACAATCTCTGACTTCGGGATTATGATACTCAGTTTGCAGAGGAGGAAATTCTACTCAGACAGGTCCGATCACTTGTCCAGCCTGACTCATTAAGTCACATGGGCAGAGTTCAAACCCTGACTCCAAAGGATACGCCCCTCTCTCTGCGCCATCTGCTTTTTCTGCTCTGACTACATCTTCCGCCAGAGGAAGATGCCTGACCCTTCTGCCCTTGAAGAGCTTTCAGTACCACAGTAGGAAGAGCATTCCCTGCCCACCAAGAAATTCAGACAGATGGTGGAGGAGGCCCAGAAAGAGGGACATTCACTTTCTGCTGGGGAGATGTTTGAATTCTGTCTTCAAGAATAGGTAGGGCTTAGGCTGTGGGGAAGAAAGTTCAAGGACAGGACAGGCAGGAAGGATGAGGCTACAAGAACCTGCCGGTCTCTCTGGAACTCTGAGAGGCCCATACATCACTGGGAAGTGGTGCCCCTCCCTGCAGACCATGGAGGAAACCAAAATATTGGGCAATGACAAAAATAGCATCAGTAATGACGTATTTTTTGGAACCATCTGAAAGGTGCAATATCGCTGACATTCAACTAGTGAGATTGTTTGATTTGATCTACCTATGCTCTTGGGGATGGTGCAGAGGGGCAAGCAATTAAACCTATCACTTTAGGTAGAGGGGAAATAAAAGGTTACTTTGGTACTAAGATATTTCCCCAAGTCACAGAACCTAGCAATACCTAAACTCTATCCTTATATAACTGAGGGCTTTGCAGCCCAGGGCTCATTGTCTGCAGTGAGGATTTTTTAAGGAAACAAATGGTCCTTGTTTAAACCACAATGACAGAAAAAAGAGGGAGGGTGGGAGTGAGGAAGGGAAGGGAGGGAGGAAGGGAAGGTAGGCAGGAAGGGAAGGAAGGAAGGGAGGGAGGAAGGGAGGGAGGGAAGAAGGAAGGAAGGAAGGAAGGAAGGAAGGAAGGAAGGAAGGAAGGAAGGAAGGAAGGAAGGAAGGAAGGAAGGAAGGAAGGAAGGAAGGAAGGAAGGAAACCAAGGGGAGAACCCCTGGGATCATTTTGACAGGTGACCTTCACCTGTCAAAAAGGCACCTTCACAGAAGGCCCAGGACTGCCAGCCTCCCTGGAGGGGTACAGGGGAGTGAAGTGCTGCAGTTCTCCAACTTGCTGGAGGTTTGGCTTTGTTTCTGAGTTTTTCTTACCAAAGTTCACTCATTGTGTAAGAATAAGAGAAGAAAGAGAGGCCTAGATTAGCGTGCTAATTACTCCTTGGTAATTAAATTAGCTTTAATTATCAGAAAACAAAAATTGTCTCCCCAAAAGGCATTTCCCTTGTTGGTTTATCTGCTAGCACTTAAAACCAAATCAGCATCTATTCAAAGAGCATAGATCTGAGGGGCCTGGTAACAGCTACGAGGTCCTCTTCCTTTATAAAAATAATCTCAAAAAAAGTAAAAATAACCAATACTATTAGGAATTTTACTATGTGCCCGGCTGGTACTGCCTATCTTCTTATATTTATTAACTCTCATTTAATCCTCAAACAACTTTGTAGAGCAGGTACTTCTGTTATCTTCATTTTACTGATAAGGAAATGGAGGCACAGAGAAGTTAAGGAACTTGCCCAAGTCACACAGGCCATTTGTGGCTGAGTTGGGCCTACAAGTCAGGCCCTCAGCACCCAGTTCTTAACCATCATGCCATCTGCCTCTTCGGAGGGCTTTTATTCCTCTTTTCCTTTAATGTCTGTATTTAGTACCAAGTATTAGAGCAGAGACTGGCAATCTACATGTGTGGGCCAAATTTGGCCCCCTGCCTAATTTTATAAATAAAGTATTATTGGAACACAGTCACATTCATTTACATATTGTCTAAGTCTGCTTTCATGCCACAGCAACAGAGTTAAGCAGTTGTGCCAGAGACCAGCTAGCCTGCAAAGCCTAAAATATTTATTATCTGGCCTTTTTCAGAATAAGTTTGTCAACTCCTGCCTTAGGTCATTGGTTCTCAAGCTTGCCTATATTTTGGGGTCACCTGGGAAATTCAGAAAAATACCTATGCCTGGGCTCCACTCCTATGATTCTGATTAAACTGGTATGGGGTGCAGCCTGGGCACTGGGGTTCTTCAAAGCTCCCCAGGAGATTGACATTCAGCCGAGTTTAAGAACCACCTGCCTTAGACTGTAAAAGGACTTCACCATCCTTGTCGTGACTGCGTGACTGCAGAGGTTGAGTAAAGCACATAGAGAACACTTCATATGGCACTTAACTATAACGCTGTCAACAAGGGCCTCCTGCCCCGCAAAATGCTGTTAAATCTGGCCCAGAGCCCAATTCCACCTTACTGTGAAGGTCCAGCCCCTACCCGGGATTACAAAGGATTCCACTTGACTAGTGGCCCAGACTTCTCCCTCCTCTCCCCGATTTCTCTACTTCCTGTTTCTTCCCTTGGAGCCCAGAACCAGATCCAATTCTCACAAAACTCCCACTCTCTCCAGCATTTCCAGAAGTTACTGAAGGGTGATGTCGTTGCTTGGGTGTAGATGCCGCAAAAGGCCACTTAGCCAGAACACTGGAGGGCCACTTCTCGCTGGTTCCGCCCCCTTTCCTCCCTTCCGCTTCCTCCCGCTCACTTCCTGTGCATCGGAGAAGCCCTTCCCCTCTCTTCTGCGCACTTGCAGCCCTGGAGACCCGGCATCCTTGTGTGACCCGGTTGGCTTGTGTATGCGCCTGCTCCACAAAGATAGATCTCCCCTGCAAGGAACGCCATACTGACTTCTGATTTTATTTATTTATTCTTACTTTTTTAATTTCTGTGTGAAAATAAAAAACTTTCTATGTATTGTTCATAAAAAAGCAATCAAAGTGCTTGACAATGGGGTAAGATAGGAACCAATAGTTCACCCCATTTTTCAGCTGAGGAGACGGCAACTTGGAAAGTTTCAGACACTTTCCCCAAGTCACACAGTTCATTCTGGTCAGCGCTAGCCAGCAGCATTGGGCGTCTGGCCACAGACACTGCCCGGAGGAGCACACAGAACCCACCTTAGGTGTTCTGGTCTGCAGACTTTGGCCAACCAGCCAGTTCTACCTACCCACTGCTGCCTGTGGCTCCTGTTTTCCTGGTTCTGTGCATGAAAGGCTCTGAGGAGCCTCCTGTGTCCTCCTGAGCTGTGACACATCAGCTAATGTCAACCTGCCTCCAGTCTAGCTTTCCCTTTGTATTCCACCCCCCACCCCCGTGCAGCATTTTGAAGTGAAGATGTTCTGACCACCAAACTTATACCCCTGCAGGACTGACATGAGTTAGCCAGGCCTCTCCTGGGGGAGGGAGGTGGGCATCACTGACATAACAATGATTTATTGAGTCCCTGTGTGTGCCACTTAGGGACTGAGACTTCCATGAGGAGCAAATCAAACACAGCCTCTGCTATCATGGAGAGACAGGCTGTGTATTATTTATGACTACACATTCAGATCCTGGTTCTACTTCTCACCCACTGTGTGAGACCGCTCTGTGCCTCAATTTCCCCTTCAGTAAAATGGGGATAATTAAGGTACCTGCAGTAGCTTCATAGGGTTGATGTGAGAAGGAAATACACATGAAATGCTTAGACAGTGCCTGGCATGGAGGAAAGTGCTACTATTTTGCACAAGTATTTGCTATCATTCTGGAGCTCACAGCTCTATGGGGGAAAGAAACCTGAAACAAGTCATTAAGGTAAAGTGGATCCCAAACCCGGCTACATGTTAGTATCTTTTGTGGAGTTGTTGCAAACAGGTTGTTGGGCCCCTCCCCAGACTTACTAACCCAGACTCTCTAGGCATGAGACGTAGGCATTTGTATCTGCGAAAAGCTCCCTGATTAATTCTGATTGGTCTGAATGGGAGCTGCTATCCTAAACACAAACAGTCCTCTCTATAGAAGTGAGAGGACAGGAAACGGTTGCACCCAGCTTAGCAGAGCTAAATCGATGGATGTGGCTGGATATTGGAAACTGGGTTAGGAATTAGCTGCAGCTCCCCTTCCTTCAGCTTCAGCTCAACCAGAGGCAATCCCCAAGCCTCAGACGTGGACAGGTAGAATCTGTCTCTTTAAAGAATGAATCAGTAGATGGGGAAAAACACCCTGGGATGCATTAAAAATACTACAGCCACAGAGAAAGGGAACACTACAAGGAAGCCTCAAGAGCAAGGGATTGCTCTGAAAAGTATTTTTTCTAATAAGCAGCAGGAAACAGGCATCATCTGAAAGGTGTCTCAGAAGAAGATGCGGCCTCAGTGGCACAGGACCGGAAGTTTCAGGTGACAGTCTTAGACGCCAGAGCAGCAGGCTGAGAGGGAAGGGATGGCTGAAACAATAAAAGCCTGCGAAAAAGCTGAAATGCAGTTACAAAAACCAATCCACATCTGAGGCACTAGAGGCAGAGCTGACCAAGCAGAAAATCAAATTAAGAAGCTTGTGGTGAGTGGAAAGTGCCCTTCCCCCCCCAAATTTATGTCCACCAGAACCTTGAGATGTGACTTTATTGGGAAATAGGATCTTGGCAGATGTAATTAGTTAAGTCGAGATGAGGTCATACTGGATTAGGTGAGCCCTGAGTCCAAAGCCAGCGTCCTTATAGGCAGAGGAGAGTACACACAGGAGACGCACAGAGAAGAAACCATGTGAGCTGGAGGCAGGGACTGGAGCCAAGCAGCTGCAAGTCAAAGAACACCAAGGATTTCCAAGAGCCAGAGGAAGAGGGAAGAGGCAAAGAAGATCCTCTAGGCCCTGCGACACTTGATTTCAGACTTTGACCACCTGAACTGTGAGAGAATAAATCTCTATTGTTTTAAGCTACCCAGTCTGTGGTTATCTGTCACAGCAACCTTAGGAAACTGATACCAATTCTAGGTCACACTTCCAGTTGAAAAGGAAAAAGACAATGAAATAAAGATGCTGAGAAATGAATAGCTATGGAGGAGAAAAAGAAACGCCCTCACCCCTGGGGCTGTCTTATCAAGCCAACAGGCCCCACGTGGGTTTCCCTGGAGACACGGGAAAGAATTATAAAATAGTCTTCCGTCTGGCCTTTGCTGTCTTATAAAATTTAAAGGAAATAAAGGGGCAAAATACTAACCTATTAGTAGTAAAACGTTTTACAAACAAACCAGCATAAACCATGCAGGAACAATAATCCACACTTCAGTAGAAGAGAACTTCCCGGACCTCAGAAGTTACACTTTCCTGCCCCGACACTAAACTAGCCGACAGTGAGGGCTGCCCGGGTACCAAGGGCAGAGCTGGTGCCCCACGGCTGCCACCTTCCCGCTCACGCTCTGTGCTTCAGCCACAGTGAATTACTCCAAGTTTCTCGAACATGTGCCTTCCTGCCTTTTCACTTATCCTCATATCCTTTCCGAAAACTGGAATTCCTTCCCAGTCTTCACTCTGTCCTGCCCCTGCCCCACCCACCATCTCGAGAGCACCCACTCACCCTCCAGGCCAAGCACCCTCTGCGCCATGAAGCCTTCGCCACAACTGCTCCTTCCTTTTCTTGTGCCCAATAAGCCCCAGACACATTCCCACGATCACATTTCCCACAACGCCTTGTAATGTACATTGTCACCTCTCTGTTTCGCCTTCTAAACTGAGAGTTTCCAGGAGGCATTTTGGCCGCCTTTTCCTGTCCTTGTATCTTCAGTCTCCTGCTCCAAGCTCTGGCTTATCTTACCCTTTGGGGATAACTATTCATGGTGCCTAAACCCAGCTAAAATTTCAAGTGCCAAAAAAAGAAAAAAGTTTGAGACCTAAAAAAACTGATAGCCCCAAATACAGAAAAAAGAAAAAGAGTGCAAAATTAAAGTTAATTAATGGTTGTCTATTAACTATAACATCAAATCAATTTCATTAATTAATTTAGCGTTCATAAGGATGTCACTACAATTGAAAAAAATTGTAAGGTAGGTTTTCTCTCTTTCCAAGAACACCTCGTATGCACCATGATTGATGAAAAATTATAGACAATCATAATGACAATCGTAGACAATCATATACAAATAATTTCAAAAGCAAAACAAGAGGGGATTGGAGAGATATTGGTCAAAGAACACAAAATTTCTGTTAAAGAGGAAGAATAAGTTCAAGAGATCTGCTGCACAATATGGCGACTATAGTTAATAGCAATGTACTATGTGCTTGAAATTTGCTCGAAGAGTAGATTTTAAGTGTTGTCACTGCAAAAAGAAAATGCTAAGTATGTGAGGTAATGCATACATTAGTTAACTCGATTTAGCCATTTCACAATGCATACACAGTTCAAAACATCATGTTGTTACATAGAAATATATATCATTTTTATTTGTCAACTGAAAAAAATTAAAATTAAATAAAAGTAAAATCATCTTAAAGGCTTTCAAAAGTTTTAAAAGAAAATCTGTCATGCGGGATGTCTTCCATGTACTTGGCCTGGTGAGAGCTGGGCGTCCTTAGGCGGGAGAGCCCAAGGCTGGCAAAGATCTTAACCGGTTCTGACAGCTGTGGCACATAATAGATACTCAATAGATGGATGTTGAGTGAATACATGAACACAGCCCACGTTTCTTTCAAAGCAAACAGCAGCCTTTGGGCTACCATCCACTCGGGGAGAGTGTGTGTGGTGGGCTTTGGGAAACCAGGTGCCAGGTGGATCGCATGCCCAGGTGGTACCTGGACAGGACCTCCATGCTTCCATTTCTAGGAACGTCAGTTAGGGTCACGCTTGTGGCCTCCTGCCTCTGGATTCTGGTTAGGAGAAGGGGAGGTGGCTGTGCTCAGTTCACCCCTCTTCCTTTTCTCCTTCTTCTTAGAGATGCAGATTCCTACAGGAACTGTGCATTTGGGGCTGCCCTTCCTTGGGTGTTAAGTTTATAGGGGCAGGCCCCATGTGGGGAAGCCAGCAGTGGTCCAGCTGTGCCTGTGAGCAGTAGGTGGGACCTTCTGACAAAGGTTCAATGTGTGCTTTGTTACCGTGTTCCACACATAGAGCATATGATTGCCTTGCTGTTCTCCCCTCCCTGTCCTTGGGATGATTCATTGTGGGTGAACCTGTCCTTGGTGCTGAGCTCAGCCATGTGACTTCCTTCAGCGAGTCATGCTAGTTACAGGCTGAGACTTCATGAGGCATTGCACATTTCCATGCACCCTGCATTCACTTCTGCCACCTGTCATGGGAAGAGCATGCCCACCTGCCTTCTGGTCCCAGCAACAGTGCAGAATAGAGCAGAATTGAACCCTACCTGCAGCCTGAAGCAGAGCTTCCCTAGTGAATACAGATCAATGAGTAAGAGAAATAATTTTTGTTGTTGTTGTAAACCACTGAGATTTGGGGGATTGTTTGTTATGCAGCAAAAAAACCCAAAAAACTAACCAATACATCCTCCAACCTAATGCTTACAGGTGATATTTTAGTCTCTATTTGGTCAGCTCAAGCTGGGAAAGAGAGGTGTTATTTAATAAGCCCCTCGAGCGCTAACAACATGCAACATCTCTGCGGAAAGGCCTGTGCTTGGGAGACTCTTTAGACTAGATTATTCCTGAACCATTTTTGCAAACTTTAGGGAGGTTGTATGTT